TATTGTCAAACCTTTCTGTCCAAGAAATAAAATGCCTAGCGCATTCACAGTTGTTGTAGGGATAGAGTGACTTTCAGGAGCCATGAAGGCTGGGATTCCTTTAGTAAAATTCTCTGTTTTAGACATTAAAAGATTTTCCATATATTTCTTAATGAGGCTTTTAAGTCTTTCCTAATTTGTAATGACAAAAATGGCAATGAAATTGACTAGATAAGGGTAAACTATGTCATAATAATTTTGAACTTAAAAATAAGATTTTAAAATAATTTTTATTTTGGGGGGGTAATTAGGTTTATTTATTTATTTAATGGAGGTACCCAGGATTGAACCCAGCACCCCATGCATTCTCAGCAGGTGCTCTACCACTGAGCTATACTCTCCCTGCTACCTACAACCAAATTTTTGTAAAATTTGGTTATCTCATTAAGATACCTATATTCACATATTTTTCAAATATCCATGATGGATTGCTTAGTAAATTTTTATGTCTGAGAATTTTTGTTTATGATTTTATTTTATTTTTTTAGTGATTGTAAGGAAGTTATTTTAGGACAAAATGCTTGCCTGAATCACTAAGACTAACAAATTATTTTCTTTTTCTTATTTTTCTTTAGGTGTTTTATGGATTAACCCTTCATTGATTACTTACAACAGCTACATAGTTATGGCGACCTTCCAGACTTTCAAAAACAGTCGCATGAAAACTAGAGCATCTGTCAGAAAAGTAAGTTCACTGTATTAGATTCTTTTTAGGGATAGTTTTAATGAAAATGGTGACTTTTTTTTTTAAGTCAAAGTCTTGTGAAGCAGCTATGCTATGGTATTCTTGTTTTAAAATGAATCTCATTATTGAAATTGGTAACAAAATATTGCAAAGATTAGCATATTTGAAATACTGATATGGAATCCTGAAGACAATGAACTTTATTTCCCAAAGACCACGCTGTTTCCTTATTTCTTCTCAGCCGATTACTTTTCTGTCCTCTTTTTAGCAATGTAAGTATCGGGTGTGCGTTTTCTTATATAGCTTTGCCCCCACAATATTGCCATCCATTCATTCATTCACTCACTCAGCAAGTAGGAATCTGAATGCTGCTTTTATGCCAGGCCCTGTGCTGGGCATTGGGTGGATAAGCAGTAGTGAGCAAATCAAATGTGATTCTTGAACCTTTCTGCTTTCTGGTCTGAGGAAGAACCTCCTCTCTTTTCCTCTCTTAAGATGATTAGGTTACCCTTTCATTTCTTGACATTTTTGTCTTTGCTAAAGCTTTGAGGGTGTTTCTTGAAGGAAGGGAGAACAGATACTGGAGGGTGGTTAGCATGTTTGCTAACCTTTTTCTTTAGGCTTCATCTTCTGCGTTGCGTGACACTGCTGACAGGTCCCCACGTGTTAAGATGCTCTTTGACTTCTTTCATTACAGCTGTTTTCCTCTCTTCTCTCTTAAGACTCTTGTCTCCTTTGCAGGTCTTCTTTCCAACTTCTAATTGTGAGTGTTCGGACAAGCTGCTAGGCCTGCTTTTTCATTTACTCACTCACTCCTTCAGAGACCTTTGGGTTTGACCTCTGTGAGAGTGGTTGTCAAATCTACAGGTGTCTACAAGGTTGGAAAACAGAAAGTAAACTTAAACAGGGTGGTAATTACATTTTTAAGTAATATACCCTGTGTGTTTTCAGGTACCTTTAGACTTAGTAAGTCCACTTTTTAATTTGGAAAAAAAAGGAGTATAATAAAAGCTATTTTCTCTGTATTTCTCCTTTCTGTAAACTGTAGTATATTACACATTTTTTCAAATGAGCAAGGGGACCCGTAGCTTTAAACTGACTGCTTGAAATTAGTAATTAGAACTAAGAAATATATATGCACAAAATACAGTAGTGAGCTAATGACTTTGTTCTTCAGGCATTATACTATGTGCCTCTTTGACTAGAATTTACCAGTATATTCCTGAGGTAAGGAGTTAGGCTCCATCTGAAGCTTTATACTATTAATTGAATGTCTTTGTTACTCAGCACATCATTTGTATTAGGCACACGATAAAGAGTTGACTTGAATTAAATACTTAGAAACCCTTTTAGATAAAAAACATGTGAATCTAAATATTTTTTTAAATTACTTAAAAAAATTTTTTTCCTTCTAGTTTTATTGAGATGTAATTGACATACAGCCCTGTATACTTTGTGGTGGGGGTGGTAATAAGGTTTTGTTTATTTTTTTAATGGAGCTTCTGGGAAATGAACCCAGGATCTTGTGCTTGCTAAATACATGCTCTACCACTGAGCTATACCCTCTGCCTCCCTGAATCTAAATATTATATACTTGTTATATGTATGTGTGTTATGTATACACTTAATTACCACTTTTGATACCTTTACTTGGTATAGTTGAATGACAAAAACTTCCCTATTGGCTAATGTGGAAATTGAAAGGTATACTTGAATTCTCTAGCTTTCACTTTACTTTGCATTAAAGATACAGATACATTGAATATTTACTGAGAATCGAGTATTATGAGAATCAGAAAGAGCTATACTTCCTACTCCATTGATTTTTCCCTAACATTTTATTATGAAAAATTCTGAGCATATAGAAAAATTAAAACCATAGTACATCCACATATAAACCTGCATACCAATCACCTATATTTAGTAGTTAATATTTTTTCTTCTTTCTATGTGTCTGTTTGTATGTGTGTGTGTGTATGTGTGTCTATGTATTCACTTTTTGGCAGAACCGTTTAAAAGCTAATGAATGGTTTTTTTTTTCTTAACTGTATTGTATTTCATTTACAGTATTGTGTTAGTTTCAGGTGAACAGCTTCAGATGCGTTTCCATTATAGGTTATTATGAGATACTGTGCTCTCGTTAGTACGAGATTCCTGTGCTCTGCAGTAAATCCTCGTGACACTTAACTGTCTTAATGTCTCTTTCCCCCGAACACTGGAGCATGCTTCTCCCAGGAATGACAACATCCTCCCATGTAACAATAATACCATTATCACATCCAAGAAAGTTAAATATAATTCCCTTACATCTAATACCCAGCCATGCTAAGACTTCCTTTATTACTCCTAAAATGTCTTTTATAGTCCCTCCCTCCCAGCCCCACTCCCACTTTGGATTCAGCTGTAGCTCCTGTTGTGTTTGATGGTGATAACTTACTTACATGTTTTTGGTCTGAAAGAGTATCCCCCCTCCCCTTTTTTTCTTTTTTTTTAATTCAAGACTGACTTTTTGGTTAGGCCAGGCCAGTTTCTTGTGCAATGTTCCATATTCTGGATTTGTCTGGCTGTTTTCTCACAGTGCTATTTAACTTACTCTTCTCACCTCTCTATTTCATGTAAACTAGAAGTTAGGAGTAAAGGCATAAATTAGATGCAGGTTAAACATTTTTAGCAAGAATACTTTTTGTAGGGTGATGAGAGGACAGAATTTCACGTTTTTCTAAGATTAATGATGCAAAAATTGGTTTGTTGATTAAGGTAGTAACTGCCAGAACTCTCCATTTAAAAAGTATATATTCTGTTTTTTATTTAGCATATAATTTTTGGGATACTACTTGGTAGTGTGCAAATATCTTATTTTTTCAACTTTCATCTAATATTTTGGCATCCCTTGATGAATGACCCTTTCCTGAATCTGCTAATTCCTGAAAGTTATACAGTGGTGGTTTTCCTAATTTTATTACTTCTTTTACATTATTAACTGGAAAGGAAAGTTTTAAAGGAAAGTTTTCCCTCATCAGTGGTCCAGATTCTTTTCTCATGACAGCAGATCTTTTTTGGAAGATCTGTACCAGTTATCTTGTAGAGTATCCCTGTATTCTGAATTCATTTGTTGCTTCTTGTGGTTAGGTTCAGCAGGAACTCCTCAAAGATGATGTTGTGATCGTTCCTCTTTGTCAGATCAGAAGGTGCTTATTGTTAGGGCCACGTTTGACCAGGTGGTTAAGGTTGAAATCACCAGATATCTCCAATATAAAGACACATAATCCCTTTGTAATTAATACTATTAGTAAGTAATCTGCAGGGCGATGCTGCAAGGCAGTGTATCTTGTTCCCTGATAGCTTTAAACCTACTGGATTAAGATACATTGATGATCTTTTCCCAAATCAGTAATTACACTGAGAGTTACAAATGGAATTCTCAAATTTCGCCATCCTGTCCATATTTGTTAGCCAGTATTCAAATGTATAAAGCACTCTCTCCCAGCCGCTACTCATTTATCTGTCTCTTATAATGACTCATAGTTTAAAAAAATTCAGTTGTTATACTCCATTATCATTTTTATTCTTTTGATGCTCAGATTATCCCAAATTTGGCCAATAGGAATTCCTTCATGTTGGTTTCTGTGTTTTTATGAAATAACCCTGTTAGTCTGCACTTCTTGCATTCTGTCACAATAAGATGTTCCAGCCACACTTCATACTTTTCTGCCTCGTTCCTGGAACCAGCTGTTTTTCCAAGGAGTTCTAGTTCTTCTAATTGGTGAGTGGTATTTAGAAATCAAAATCTGGATGTTGGGTGTGCTCATTGTTGCTGAGGGTCATTGCTTCTGTGATCTGTCAATGGAAAAACGTAGTACATACATTTAAAGAATCTTGAATTCCTGTTGAAAGTTCAGGTTTAACATTCCTTTTTTTTTTCACAATTACTCTGCTTTCATATTTGCATCTCTTCTCTTAGAATGAAGATTTCTACAAAATTTTAATTTATTATGATTAGCAGACATTTCCTGAGTTCATATGGTATGTGAGGTACTGAAATCTGGGTAAATGAGTAAAAGATAATCTCTAACCTCAGTAATTTGGTTTAATCAGTAGGAAAGCCAAATGTATCTGAGAATAGTAATTGTAATATATTGTGATATAGCTTAAATGATCTTAATGAGCAAACAGTACGGTCGGAACTTTGAAAGAGATTTATTATGACTAAGGGGTGGGAAAATACTCACAGGTCTTGGGATGGGTAGGGTTTCTGCAGGGAACACTGGGGAGGAAGGGCGTTTCTGAGAGAAGAGCAGGCTAACATGTCAGCAGAAGGAGAATAAGGTAAAAAGAAATTAATACTCTGTTTATGTCCAACGGTAACACTCATTTCTTCATGTAACTTTTTCCTTCCTCAGTTTCTTTGCACTCGTGACATTCTTCTCTGCCGAATCTGAAATGCCTTCCCTCATTTTCATCACATAGCTGGCAGAAGACCCCTGAAAAGCCTCATTTTGGGTTACTATCTCTTTCTTTTTTTCATCTCCAATTTGCTATGAGAACAGTCACGTTCTCAGCGTACCTTGCTGTAAGTTTCCACACCATCTTCTTGTATAGATGGTGGCTTCTGTTCTGCCAGTGACTTGGAAATCAGATATGTGCTCTGTTAGGTTTCAGAGCAGGGTGAGAGTAAGAGAACCTGGCCTCGTGATCTTCCGGCAGCTTGAATGCCTGGACCGTGGTGTGCGTGTTTTGAGCATGTGAGCTCTACATAAGCCTTTTGTTCTTTCTTCCTCTCAGGTGAATTGAGTTCTGTTATATCAAAAGGTGTCCAGTGAATATTCATTGGAGAGTTAGTGACCCTCCATTTAATCTATCTCTAGGATCTTTTATCTTGTCTTAGAATCAAATAAATTAAGAATATCTTTTATTTTCAGAGCTTCAGTGAAGATGTGTTCCAGTCTGTAAAGTCTTTATTACAGAGTGAGAAGGAACTATGCAGTGTATCAGCAGAGGACTGTTTAAAGCAGGATGAACGTGCCAATTTGACTGAGGTTGGGCATGCTTCTTTCTCTACCCTTTCCTAATACAGCACAATGCATTTGCATGTATCTTGGTAGAACTGTGTAGTCTGTTTTGTTTAAAATGCCTAAAATCTCTGCATATTAATACCTGTGTGAGAAGTACCTGTTTAAATATCCGTTATCCTTATCGCCCTAGTGTATTATAATGAACACATTTAATTCAGTGCGCAGGCGTGACTGACCACTCATTGGGCACAGAGCCCTGTATTAGAGAATTTCTATGTTCAGAAATTGGGACTTCAATACTAAAATTTTCTCCTTTGAAATGAAATATATATTTATTTCTTATATTGTTATCTTGGTGGTTTAAATTCAGTGCTTTGATTCAAAATGAAAAAGTAGTGATACATTTATTTTGAAATTTAGATACTTACCACTTAACAATGGGTATAGAACTTTCTCACCTGTTTCTCTGCTGCATCAGTGTTTCCAATCTTTGTTTGAATATACTAATATAAAAAGGAGTAAAAATTTTTCCTACAGTATAACCATAATCCATCAAAACATTATTTACCTTACCAAATAAGAGAGATAGAGTATTGAATCATTGAAGCTCAAAACTGATAAATATGTTAATTAAAAAAATTTTTTTTTGAAATCAAGGTTCTAATAAATACTCTTGATTATTATTTTTGGGAATGATTTTCTTTCATGCTCCTTGAGAAAGTATATCTGAAGTAGTTCCATAGGGTGGTGAGCACAGCTTTCAGTCCTGTGATGTTCTCTGACCTGAGTCTCTTCTTCTGGTGTCAGCTCGGTGCTGTGGCTCGTGGCTCTTGTCCTCTTTGTTGCCCCTTTTTACTTTATTTTAGTAAAGCCAAGCCACCCCTAGTCTCCTCAGCTGTTGCCCAGCGTGATAAGTCTTCCGTGTCCTCTGCCCTCAATTTCCAGCCGTCTCTCTCTGGCTTACGTAGTGCCCCTCTGAGCCCACATTCCTTGATCAATGGGAAATGCAAAACTCTGCTGACATCTTCACAACCCCATGTCAGCGTATCTTCTCTTTGTGTTCAGTAAAAGGAAACCTGAAGGAATTTGGTCTCACTTTAGGGTATATAAATCCCGAAGTACCTTTTTGAAGAAAGGAAGGATATTGAGTATTTGAGTGTGTCTGTGTTATGGAGTGCCTGCGGTATGTGCTAGGCGCTTTGCCCACATTGTCTAATTAGCCCTCACAACTGTGGGAGGGGAGGTATGTGCCTTAAGTTTTACAGATGAGGAGACAGGCTCCTGTAGGTTAGTAATCTACCTAGACACCTGGGAATTAACTGTAACATTTCTTTGAAGTAGTACCTGTTATTGAGAGTAAAGATTCTGGAATGACCTAAGACTCTGACTTGCTTTTGAATCATCAGAAAGAGATCAAAAATGTATCGAGTGTTGTTTTATATTTTAACGATGCTGTTTTCGTTTAATTCTTGAGAATTAATTATCCATATTGCTACCATTTAAGTATTTCATATGTTTAGTCGCAGTACTTATTAAACAGTTTACCAGTATCTTCAAGTGGACACAATTTTTTCTTATGATGTCAGAGACATAGAGGGAATATGGATTTTTAGAATAATATTTTTTTCAGGTTATAAAAGTGTACATAGTCCATATAGAAAAATAAGAACTACTGAAAGCATAAAAAAGAAAATGAATTAATCCTGTGAATTAGGAAAGGAAAAAACCCACAGGGGGAAAAATAGAGAAAAATAAGATCACCTGTAATTCCATCATTGATAGTTAACCACTGCTTAAAATTTGACACATTGTCTTAGAGTATTAGTTTCCATCCATGTTTTTAAAAATGAGGCTGAAATTGTGTGCACACTCCATATCGTTTTTCTGTAGCTTGTCCTTTTTACTAAATAATGTGACGTTTCTTCAGGCCATTAGATTTTCTTTAGAGAGTTAATTTATATGAACTTCTGCAGAGAAATCTCTTTGTAAAGGCATTGAAAGAAATAAGTGATAATATCACAGAGGGTCAGTCAAGAGGTAGGTAGGTTTGGAGGTGCCCAGGGAAAGCCTCTCTGTGGAGGTGGCATTTGGGTTGGAACTTGAAGAAAAGGAGGAGCTTGGCATGTAAACATCTGAGGAAAAGAGATCCAGATTGACGGGGCAGTGCTCTAAGGTCCTTAGGCAAGAACATCCTCTGGGTTCTAGACCCAGAAAGAGGGCCTGTCTGTATGAATGAAAGTGAGGGAAAGTTGGAGGCACCTGCTAACCCAGGGGCCTCTGTTAGGACTTTGCACTGAGAAGCCAAGAACGGTTTTGACAGGGAGGTGACAGGATAATTCCTGAGGCCAGGTGGGAGGGGATTGGAGTCGTGCAGGTGAGACGTGGAGGCAGGGGAGTGGAGAGCAGTGGGTGTGTGAGATCTGTGTGGGGCCTGGAAGTGATGGAACTTGCTGAAGTGGATGTGGGGAGGTTCGGGAGCCTCATTATGGAGCCAGATCTTTGGTGAAAAACCTTTGTGATCATCTTTGAAAAAATTTATCATCCTCTCTAGGGCAGTCAGCATTTTAATCCTTTTTTTCCCTGTTTCTCAGTTCTTTCAACAGTCAAACTGATACAAGACTTAAAAACTCTAATGGAGCTTTATTCCTTTTTTATTCAGGTCACATTTCTAGGATTTAATGAAGAAACAGATGCTGCTCATATACAGGTAAGATCTATTTATTGAGCTGGAAAGAAGTTATTTGAAAGAAATTCTGAGAGCATAAAAAATTTATCTTATTAGTCCAGAATTCACATTAAAACCTTTTTTTTTTAAATCATTCCTATTTAAACGATGACATTTTGAGATCAGCTTTTTAGTGTGCCTTGGACATTTTCACTGAGTATTCTCGTAATGGAAAGCAGTTTTAGGTTAGGAGACCACAAAAAAACCGTTCATCTGAGAAGGCTGCAAACCACAGGCTAACTTTTCCTCCATTCTGTCATAATGTAGAATATGAGACTTGTGTTTTTATTTTGGTACTTCTTATAATCTAACTTCAACAGTCATATTCTTATATTTTTAATTGAGATAGAGTTAAATTTAAAAGCTAAAACTTGTAAAAAAAAAAGAAAAGAAAATAATGGTTAGCTAACCCAAAACTTTTAGCCTGTTTAATTTGGGCTGGTATTTACAGAGGGACTGAGAGTTAAGTCAGGATCTGCCGAGGAAAGCCCCACAATTGCGTGGAGAGGAGGCGAAGCTGGTGTAGATGTGGTAGGCGTCCTTTTTCTCACCTCGTGCTGCTTCTTAAAATTTGTGGTTGTCCTGGATTTCCTTTTGTGGCAGTGAAGCGTCTCCTAGGAGGAGACAATTGTAGTGAATTTCAGCAAAGACTGCTGTAATTCGTTATTCAGCATTACTTTATTGGAAGTGAGAAACTGAAGGACATTAAGGCGTAGGATTGCTGTCACAATAAAGCTTTCTCACACCCCAGAGTTTTTTCCCTTAGTGTATTATATGCCTCTCCCAAATACAGTGACCGTTCTATCACACTTAAAATTAGGATGTTGGACTCTTGTCCGTATTCTGTTAAGTGCTGAAGTGCTGTGTGGATACAATGATATAAAAAAGATTGGCACCAAGCATCATGTAACACAGCTGGAAATCCTAAGTGTATGGAACCACTTGTTTTGTATACAAAAAAGGGGGGAGAGTCTTAAAGATGAATCAATGAGAAGTAATGTAAATCTGGAAAACCTTTTACCTGGTGCTTTAACAGGATCAAAAGGGATGTCCTAACTTACTAGTGAAAGTTTAGCTCAAAACTGGATCTTTTCCTCACAGCCCGTTCTTAGGACCTACAGACTCTGTGCACAGAAATAGTGGGATGTCTTGGGCTCCTGGGCCCACGTGGACGCAGGAGGGGGACTTGGCACTTAGAGCCCAGACCTCATAGCTGTCACAGCACTGGGTGTCCCTTTACACATTATGGTGTTTTCGAAAAACGTTACTAAAAAGACAGTTCTTTGGCACGTACTTTTACAACATTAAATTCTCAAATTCATACAGCTGGTTTTTTTTTTTTGACTGTCTCCACTATTTCTATTTCTATGTTTGAAGGTTTTATTTTGTTTCACTTTTATACCCCTAATTCCAAGAGAGTCTAGTATCCATTGTCATGTGTTGTGGTAAACCTGTTTTGTTTTGTTTTGTTTTCTCTCAGTTGAGAACGTGATCAGCTTCTTAGGTAAAATTAAGCACCAGAGTGTTGATCCTTAAGTCCATAGCAATACACTGTGGTGCAGATAAAAGTGTGTTTTCTTGTTCCGTTCTAAACGAATAATGTGTGTTGGCATTAAAATTTGGTGGTGACAAATGGAACCTCTGTTGTGTGTCTTGATTGTGCCTCAGCCTGAAGGAAACAGTTTAGGCAGAAGGCACAAGAGAAGATGTAGTCCTGAGAACGTAAGGTTGAAGAAGGTTCCAGAGTATCTCTCTCCTCCTCTGCTTCCCCTTTAAGAATTACTGAGAAAACCATGTTTATAGAGGAAAGTGCTCTATGAGGGGTCAGAGATGTTAATAATTCTTTAACTGGGCAGAAGAGTAACATAAAAAGGACAAATGAGAAGAAAAACAAAGATATTTTCTTTTCCTTTACATCTCCATAAAATTATCAGTAAAGTCTGATATAATACCTTAGAGAGGGAAGCAGGAAAAGGCTTGGATTTTACAGGCATTTAACTTAAGCTCCAAAAAAGTATATTCCACAGGCAAGAATCCCATACGGAAAATTTGATGGTTAAACTTGAGGACTGCAGGTTGACGTTTGCAGCTAAAAACTGTTGAATGCTTGATTGTTACAGATATGTGAGGTACCATGTACAGTTTGTTATAGCTTGGTATCATTATGTTTAAAAGGCTACAGAAATAGCCACTTAAAAATACTTAAGTGTATTTTAATTTTGAATTTAAAAAAAAATTGATTGTGGCCGATAAACTTCGTATGTTAACTATTACGAACTGGAAAATTTATTAACTAGTAGACCTTGCGATTTTTGTATAGGCCACGTTAGGGGAACTTTGACAAAAGTGTTACGTTACAGTATTATTTATTGTTTTATTGCTCTGTGTTAGGATTTAGCTGCAGTTTCTTTGGAGCTTCCAGATCTTCTGAATTCACTGCACTTTTGCAGCCTAAATGAAAATGAAATTATTTGTATGAAGGATATAAATAAGTCCTCAGATACAAACAGTGGTCCTATAAACCAGGTAACTTTTATATATCATTTCTAATGCGTTTTGGGGGACAAATTTTAGTGACATTTGAGAGTATTAAACTTTTAAATGCTGGGATGAAGTTTCTTTTTGTTTAATGTTATCTCATGGAAAAAGGATTCATAAGAAATCTAACTCATGAAGCTTTGAAATCAATAAAGGATAAGATAATTTTGGTCATAGTTTAGATTTATCACGTGTGAAGCTCCGTAAGTGGTATGCAAGTACACACTACTTTTTTTCTGAAAATGTATTATTTCTGGATTTCTTGAATTTCACCAGAGTGTACATCATAGGAATTTTCCCTTTTATGGCCCATTTCCAAGTTTATGTAAATATTGTGTTGTATGTTTTAGAGAACATACTTTAACTCATTTTCTGGTTAAAAAAATTTCCATGTACAATGGCTATCTGAAGATGTGTTCTTTGTTTATAAACAAACATGTCACCATTTCAGACAGGTCATTAGTGTTACAACATTGAGCATTTAGTTCTTTACCAAGTGTTAATTTGTTGATAATACATCAAAGAAAAATGCTTTGCATGTTTTCCCTCCTAAAAATTGAATTATAGGCTTAAAATTTGGATTACCTCTTCCTTCATGTATAAAAAGTACTGTGTTTATTTTGAGGTTTACAGATAAAAGTAGAATTGCTCTCCTCCTTTTCATAATTATAGTCTCCATTTATATTTACTTTTTCTATTTGCTAGGATATAAGAGGTGGGTAGCTATTTTATCTAATTTCTAGTTTTTCGAATGAGTAATTTGTCAGTATTTGCATTTTAAAAAATATAATTTAAATAGCATACCATTTAAACATAGTATGTATGGAAAAAAATCTGTTGACTTCTGAATCAAAGCTATAAACATTATTGTAAATTGAAATACTGGAGCAATTCTGGTAAATGGAGGGGACAGTTCTTTTATAATGGGAGAGGATGTGGAATCCGGATGAAAGCTACAGGAAGATGGGATGCAAAAAGCCTGGAACCTGGTTGGTGTGCTCATGCAGTTCTCAGTGTGGCTGGTGAACTAGGTGGATGATGAGATAAGAAAAATCACAGGGCTGTCCAGTCACACGGGAAAATGTAATTGCCCAAAGGAATGGCTAAGTAAGTTCCACAACATTCAAGGAGATGGAATAGATACAATTTGAATTCCTGGGAAAGAGAAAGATGGGAGAAAAAGAGGTTGAGAAGTGAGAAGAACTGTGGGGAAAGAATGAAGAAAAGAAACATGGCAAAATCAGGGAGCCTTTCAGAATGCATGTGCTACTGCTTTTTTTTTTTTTTTTTTAATCTTCCTGAGATTGGGGGTATTTCTAGGCTTCGTTTTCAGGGAACATGTTTCATTTTTCTGTATCGTATATTTTGAAAATAAAATGATTTTCATTATCTTTTATCTTTCCCAAGAGTCATCATTCTGGAATGCTTTGTGTCATGAGAGTGTCACCTACATTACCAAGAGTCAGAGCTGATTTTATCTTTAGTCTCCTAAGTAAATATGCCACTGGTATAAGATACACCCTGGACACATACTTGCATCAGAAGCGCCAGCTTGAGGCCACTAATGAAGATGATGACGACACTAACCAGTCAGTATCGTCCATCGAAGACGACTTTGTCACTGCGTTTGAGCACTTAGAGGAGGAGACTGCAAAGCCATATAGTGATGGTTTGTTCTTTACTAGACTTTTTCTTGAAATAGGGGAGTAAGGTTTAAAGTTCAGTTTTAACAGTTTTAAGGCAAACTTGTTCATTTGAAACATTTTAACCTTTTTTCTGATTGAGAAATTAATTTTCTCATGATTTTTAAGTTCATCATTACCTGATATTTTTGGTTTTGCTGTTTTTCTTCTTGTTTAGTTAGTACTGTTCATGTACTGTTTACCTCATTGCCTTAAATGTTTGGAACATGCCTAAGTTCGAATTTGAGAAGAGTCACCTAAATACTAGTATTTCTAACATGTGACAATACGCTAAGCATACCATAGCCCAGGTATTCCCAGATGTGGGGCAGAATGAAAATATTTTAGTAAAAGGTGTAATTGCTTTTAAGTATGACTGGGGATGAATCTGTTAAACAACATAGTGTAGGAGACACGGTATGAGTAAGCATTTCATGCTTAATGTCTACTTAGTCCCATTGATTTAAATTAATTAAAAAAACTATTCAAGAATACTTTATTCATGTTTTTCTTTTCCTGTAGGAATAAACGTTACTGCACTAAGGAGCCAGTGTGATGTTGCTTCACAGACTATTTCTGGTCACCACTTAGAAACCCATGATTTGAGGGTTCTGGTTAGCTCTGGGCGGCAGAAGTCCTTGGCTAAACCTTCAACTTCTCTAATAAACGTCCTGGAACATAAAGAACTGCCTTCTGTGAAAACTTCAGTCACAACATCAGTTTCTGAGGCTTGGGTCCAGAGGAGTTTCTACAGATCATCCACTGCTTCAGATAAAGTCAGTGCTGCGCAGACAATGCTGTTTTCTCCTTCTCCCGCCTACTCGTCTGAGTCGGAGTGCTCAAGTCCAAGTCCTGTTATTTTCTTGGATGAAGAGGGCTATCAAAAAAGTCTGAAAGCAAAACTTGAGTTACCTAAAATTCCGGTGATGAAAGATGATATTGAGGATTCAGACTCAGAAGTGAGTGAGTTTTTTGATAGTTTTGACCAGTTCGATGAACTGGAGCAGACTTTAGAGATGGCTTGTCCGTTTCTAAAAGATCCTGCCTCAGGGAAGCCACCGCAAAAGAAAGGGCCCAAACATGAACAATCTTGTTCTGCAACCACTGCTATGAATCCTCAAAAGTTCAAGTCTGATCGTCCAGCTCTCCCAGCTAATGTAAGGAAGCCAACTCCTCGCAAACCAGAATCCCCTTACAGTAACCTGTGTGAGGCTCCAGATTCTCCCCGCCTGGTGAAGGCCTCGGGGGAGGACAGTGGCCTGTTCAGCCCTATTCGGTCCTCTGCCTTTAGTCCTCTTGGAGGCTGCACGCCTGCTGAATGTTGTTGCCAAGCAGCTGCTGGTGGCAGTAGGATTCCTGAAAGGCACGATTCTGTTTATCACACCTATGAGGATTATGCGAATAGCATTTCACGTGAAGTGCTGGGCTCGGTTCTTCACCCCCGACATCCTAACGCAGCATCAGACGTTGATCGTATTAAAAAGGGGGAACCTAAAACTGTAGCTCTCAAGCGTGGAAGCCTTGATCACAGAAGTCGATCTAAAAATAAATCCTCAGTGATTAAGGATGGCATTCAGAAGTTTGCAGCGGATCTCGTGGAAAAAAGTTTTGGCAGTGCATTTAAAGACTTGCAGAAGGGAGTCTCTTCGTGTACCAACGCCCTGTGCCAACTGGCCGTCAAACTGACATCCTCCGTTTTTCAGATGGCATTTAACGAACTGAGAAGGCAGCGTGCGTTTTTTCTGAAAGAACGAGCCATTAGCAGTCTGGCTAACTTTTTGGTGAGTGAAGCTTTCTCAAATGCTTTGAAAGATTTGCAGTACGTAAAGAAGCAGATCTTCACGAACACCGTGGCGAGGTTCGCCGCAGATCTTGCCGAAGAGCTGGTTTTTGAAGGCATCATGGAAGTGTGTCAGTTTT